TTTTTCTTTAGAATACGTTCAATATAAATATCTTAAAATATTTCAGACAAACTATATCAGAAAAATTTCTATTCATTTAGAGTAACAATACCTAAATATTTAAACACAACATTTAATACACCTATATACTCATGTCTACATTGCATTAGAATCTATGTCAATTGAAATATGTTCTCTTGTATATACGTACATATAATATATTTGAAACATAATATAATTTATGTTTTAAGAATATATTATATATGTAACTAGGTGAATGTATAATATTTGTGTTAAGAATCTAAAGTCATTTAATACTCACTTTTCTATGAATGAAAATATTGAGCATATTATAAAAAAATAAGAGGAAAAACCATTTTTAAACTTTTTTTTTTCATTTTCTTGTTTTTCCTTTTCATTTTTTTAGTTATTGTTCAGTTTTGTGGTAAAATCATTACTCAACATCCTTTTAAAAATCCCAAACAAACGAGAATATTTTCCATTATTCTATTATATAAAATAGAAATTATGTTACACATTTTTATGTATATAAATATATAAGTATATAGTATAGATATAAGTAGTATTACCATACACTCTTATCAAAGCATATATGAACACATTTATATTGAAATGTAATTTAATCGATTTTTTAACAATAAAAAGTGAATAAAAATAAGAAAAATAACAAAATATAAAATGTTACTCTTTGGAAAATTTTTATTAATTGCGTTCAGTTGTTTGAAATTATGTTGAATCTTTTATTTCCCTATACTATTCGTATATACTTTTTGCACTTTTAACGATCCAATTTGATTGCTTTATTATTGTAGATTTTACATAATACGCATATACATATATAATATATCGAACATTTTCCTCTTCTTTTCGCACATGGTTTTTTTTTTGTTGCATTAAATTGTTCAAATTTAACATATTATTTAGTATAAGAATCTTTGAATAGGTAATTGTAAATTGCCTTTATCGTGTTGCCTTGTCTGGCTTACCATACTCTATTTTATAAAATTTTATAATATCGTTAAAGAAAATTTAACTTTATTAAATAAATTGAAAATAACGTTATAAAATTAAATTGTATTAATTAGAGAGTGAAAAACTTAAGTTTACCATGGCATTTTTATTATAGTAATATTGTCTACTAACGTGTTAAAAGGATGAAAAATTTTACATGAGTCTTATGGGAAAATTTCGTTTAACAGGAAATAAGAAATTAATTTTGTAAATTATTATTAAATAAATTCATTAAAAGTATGCTGTGATCTAATCATCTGTAGGAACTTATTAGGAAGTGATGAGGTATAGAGTAGCAAAAACCGTATGCGGCACTATAACTTATTATAGACAAACTTTAACATTTAAAATTCGAAAACTAAAGGATTTCTTTGATAATTTAATTAATAAATTCAATTGATAGCTAAATCAATAAAAAATTTTTCTTGAAACTTTTATCTCCCCCTATAAATATGCAATTTTTTTTGAAAAATTTTATGATATTGAAAATTAGTACTTTAAATGTGCTTATTTTAATTTTTAATGAAATTAAATAACTTATTTAATTTATATTTTGAATCGAAATCTTTATTTTCGTATTTCAAAAAAAAATTTTTAGACTAATAACTAACTCTTTTGTAGACGAATATAAAGTTTCTTTTATTTCAATATAAATCAATTTTAATGGTTTCTATTAAATTTTTTTATTATTCAACTATTCAAAAACGTAAGAAATTGAAATGAAAATAGCTAGTAGAAAAGCTTTACATAATATAGAAACATTCCAAAAAACGTATTCTTAACCTGTATAATATAGTTAGGATTTATAACGTATTGAACTTTGAGCTTTCGGAAATGTGTATTATGTAATTTTAGTACATTTTCATTATAAAAGCGTTCTGTTTTTACTCATAAATACAAATGTTAAGCAAAATTCCTGTAAATTTGAATATCTCGAAGAAATGTTAAAAAGACCACATACTTTACGACATGTTGTCATAATTAAATTTTCAGCTAACCCGTAAGACGCCGATCATAAAATCGTTGCAATAGAATATTAACCTGCATTTCTATTTAAAAGAATTATTGCTGAAATGAGTACTTTTTTTCATAAAATATAACATCGTTTTTCTTAATTTATGCTGTACAAAATATAATACGAAATATTTGTACAACATTTGGGCACAGATTGCAAAAAATTTACTTTAAAAATCATGTTCACGACCATACATTAGTTTAAAAAAGAAATGAAAAATAAATATTGTCCTTGTTTCTTTTTTTATTTAAAAGAAATCTAGGAGCAACTTTTCAGTCGGTTTCAATAAATCAATGTATTATTTTCATATTAGTTTTTTGAAAAGTTTTCTAGAACGTTTTATGGGCTAATATTTTAATACATTAATAATATTTTCAATTGAAACTACTATAGTTTCTGGTTTAATATCTTTTAATTTTTAAAAGATTCAATGTCATTTTTTTTTTAGAAACTAACGCAATTTTAAAAATTGAATTCCAAAAAACATTATTCATACTTCAACATTATTTATTTCTGTTTTTAATTTATAGTGAAATCACATTGCATTTCACAAAATAAAATATGATTTAAGGTTATACATTGAATATTTAGCGTGCAGTGAATATTATATTTTTCTACAGTACAGAGAAATTTGGTAGGATATTCACAGTCACTACAATAAAATTGTGCTGCTTCTAGTAATAAAATAAAATTTATTACTATATCGTATTTACTCATATCTAATAAAATTATTAATTTATAACGTAAGTATTGTATTTTAATAATGAAAAGATTATTTATGATTTTTTTGGTCTTTAAATAACAGAAAACTAACTTCTAAAAATTGTTTAATAAATCATAAATTTTTGTGATCGAAAATAAAGTTTATAGAACTATAGAAGGTTGTATAGTAATATAAAATTATTCTATTTTATTCATAAAATACTACAGCAGCACTTCACTATAACCGTTCATATAATTTTTGCTCAAATCAGTTTAAATATACACTAAATACAAAATTAGAATTAAAATAAATTCTGAGATCCTTTATTTTCCACTAATGTCTTATAAATTAAAAAAAATATTTTATCTTTAATTTACAAATAAGTTTATAAATTCTTTTTATTATGCAGTAGGGTTTAATTAATACTGTTTTTATAATAAAACCGTATTAATAATCTTGAATTTCCTGTAAAAACAACAAAATTTAAAACAAATTTTTATTACCGATATTAAGTATTTTTTTCTAATCCTACAATTCATTGAATTTTATTTGGTCTACAATAATATTATATAAAATAATTTTTATTTGATACAAATTATATTAGATTTTCAAATAATATATCCTTACACATCCTTTTTAATAATAATGTTTTGAGTGCAAAAATACATAAAAAATTTTATACTATACAAAAATAAACCGATTATATAAAATGAAAAACCGTATAGCTAAAAAATTTTTTCGCAAAAAAAAAAAAAAACAAAACAAAATTAGAAATTGCCCCGCTTTTTAAGGAAATAAATAAAATATTTCACTGTACATTATGTGTAATAAAATATTAATGATTATTGTTCCTATCCTGAAAGTATGCAATTAATCAAATTCTCTAAAGTACCATTATTACTTAATGCTTTCAGGTTTTTACAATTCAAAGGTATTGTACAGTTATATTTCCAAATATAAAAAATATTATACAACCGGTATTTTGGAATTTATAATAAATCACAATGAATTATAAAGAAAATAAGAAAGAAAGAAAAAAAAGTGTTAAAAGAGTACATCTTTAGCAAAAGAGTAATAGCTATAAAGATTTTGATGAAAGAAAATTTTTTGAAAATTTTCTCTTCGTTGCATTAAAATATTATGCAATTATTTACCTGAAATATTCAGCATTGCAGTAAAACATATTTTACTTAGACTTTTTCATATAAATGCACACCTTTATTCAGAAAAATCCATAAATTATAACATTTTTTTAATATTTTTTACATTCTTTAATGTATATAGGGAATAAAATTGAAATTATTACCTTTGCCATTTGGTCAAACGCATTTTGACTAACATTGGGGAAATTTTATTTCTTTTCTAGCGAGTTTTCTTTTCCTAGTATATTTACATATAATTGTATCCTTAAAACGAACACAATTATTTTTATTACTTAGAAAAATGAAATACAGAAAATCTATTTCATATAATAGATTTCCTGAATTATATGGACATAAAAAGTGCACGGATTAAATTGGTAAGACCTGTGACAAAAACAATACTAGGTAATACGATTAAATCACTATGGTTGTTAAGTCGTTATGCTTAACACCGTCGTGAAACATTGCTGGTATTAATTACGAAAATTTTTAAAATAATATTTTTCTTTTTCATTTGGTTACCATCTAGTTTCTTAAATATCAAGGATATACAATATTAATTAAGGAAATTTTTATCAATCACAGTTACATATACAGTTTATATATTAGTAAAATAGAAATCTTGAAATGTGATTTTTGTAATGGTCGTCGTTTTATTGCCAGTTTTATGAGGTTTTAGCAACTTTTAAAGGTGACTTGTGCTATTTCAGTGTTCTTATTACGGTTTATTAAACTTATGTGCTGGAAATTATAAATATGATTTCCGTAACTTAATAGTTTAAATTTTATATTCGATAAAAATCGTGTCACTCCATAAATATTTTCATAAATAAAAAATTTGTTAAGTTTATGAAATATTTAATATTTATGTAGAATCATGAATTTTTGCAGAAGTATGAAGCTAAAGTAAATTCTTAAAAAGGCAATAAAAAATTTATTAACTATCGTTATGTGAGTTAATTAGCAGAATAAATTTAAAAATATCTATGATATGCGATTAAACTTGTATAATATACTGAATTTTATATATTATTTTATTACCATTAGAATTGTGTTCCATTTATGAATTGAATAACATATTATAATTCAATTCTGCTAATGTTTATTTAATTTTTACTCCATTATATAGGTTCTTACCAGGATTTGCTCCATTTATTGATGGAACTGTAATTGCACATTCATCAGCGAGCTTAACCAGACCGCTAACATTACCAGTTGGTTCAGCAATTTCAAGGTATAAAATTCATATAGACATTATTATTTTGTTATTAGATGGTATATGTTAATATAAATGTTATTATGTACATAAATTTTATAAAATTTTTAAAATTACGACCAAATTTATATTAAATATTTAATAAAATATTACACTTTCCTTTTGAATTTATCGCGAAAAAAATTAATTTTCATCTGATATACCATTTTTAGGGCATTAGAATGTGGCAACGTTAAAAAATTGTACTTAACACTTAACGCAATTAAAGTATAACAATACTTTAACGCACCTTATTTTTACCAAAATATTATTTCTTATACAAATAATCAATTTTTATATAATTTATTAATTTTAAAAAATTTTTTTAAATCTGTCTACCTCACAGATTCCCGTCTACTAAGTAATTCAATTGAAAACCAAAAAGTAGATTTTAATCAAAAATGGGATCACCAAATTTTGTATATGATTTTAAAAGACATTTTTGTCACACAAAAGCATTAATAGCCAAAATATACAAAATGATAAAGTACCCATTAAACAAATCGAATTATAGAATTGCATACATTTTACACAATTATACATTATAATATATTAGTTTTAGAATTCTGTTGAAAGTGCACTTAATAAAATATTATTTCCACGGGTTCCAAACATAATTTGTGACAATTATTTCTTCCAGACTATTTACTATTTCATTTACATATCCATATATTCAATAAAGCATTAAATGATATCCTGATCATAAAATACTATTCTATATTCCTCTTTTTTGCCATTATTAAATTTATTTATCCTCTACATGTTTAATTTACTCTTTCCCTATTAATATCTAAAACAAAAACAAGAAAAAATTAAAATAAAAAATTTTTTTTTTTATTTACAGCACATCTGGTTTAGAATTTGCTGATTTCCCAGAACGTGAATTAATATTTGGTTTAACATCAATTGAATCATATTTAGATTTATCAGCACAGGATTTAGAATTTGGTTTTAATGAGACACGACGTGATCGCATATTACGAACATTTGTTCGTAACGTATATCACTATCATTTAAATGAAATTTTTTCAGTATTAAAGGTACAATAATATTAAATTGTTATTAAAACATATAGAATAATATTTCAATTTAGGGAAATGTATGGAAAAATATTTTCAATTTATTCTATTCTACATTACATTAAAGACTCTATTGGTAGAAATCAGTGTATATATGTTGTAAAAATAATGAAAAACAATGTTGCAGAAATTTCGATGTAGAATATCTTCCTCAACAATTGTAATTTTAATTATATTCTACTTTAAGTGCTATTTTTTTTTTATTTTGATTTTTTTTACATTAAATGTGTAGCTCTTTTCATGAATAAAATTTTCATTTGCACTGAAATTTTCGAATAGTTTCTGAAATACTTGCACTTAAAAATATGCTGTTTTAGTAAATTAAAGACTAATATTCGGATAGAGTTACGATTTCAACCATTCAGATACAAATTACGATAAAATATCAAAAAATTATTATATTTCCCTAAAAATATGCAATTTTCATCTTTTTAATTTTTTTACATTTTCTTCATTTCAATATATAATTAATTTATTATAGAACGAATATACTGATTGGGAGAAAACATATCGTAGTCCTTTAACATCTAGGGATGCAACATTAGAATTTCTTAGTGATGGTCATACTGTAGCACCACTTATTCGTTTAGGTTATTTACATAGTATACGCGGTGGAAGAACATATTTTTTACATTTTCGTCATCAATCTGGTGAAAGAGAATTCCCTCAGGTAAATTTTTAAATTATGATTTTATAATAAATTATAAATTTACTTATTATCTGTTAATTATAGCGTTCGGGATCTCTACATGGTGAAGATGTACCATATTGGTTTGGACTTCCAATTTCATCATTATTTCCATATAATTATACAAAACAAGACATTAAGCAGAGTAAAATTCTAATACGTTATCTTTCAAATTTTGCTCAAACTGGGTAATTTTTTTATTTAATATGATAAAAATAATTCTAGTTTACTAATACCAACAAAATTCATACCTAATTTTATATTAACAGAAATCCAAATGAGAATACAATCGGTCCAATAGACATATCTCATAATATTTTGCATGGTAATAAAGCATCAAAATTTTTAGAGTCATCATCTTTAACATTATCGTCATCGATGATGAATGCATCTAAAATAATACAATTTCCAATAGCACCAACATCGGCAAAAATATTAAAAGAATCAACAACAAAATCAGGATTCAATCAAAATGCTATTGATAAACCAAATCCTACAATTAATTCTAGATCAACAACGACAACATTAGTTAAACATCATGATGATCAATATTTTAAACAACAATATCATCATTTAACACCATTTCAATCGGAAGAACCAAGATCATCAGCATCATTGACAACATTAATTAATGATGGAACTGTTATAACTCCAACATTACAACATCCGCCATCACCATCATCATCAGCAACACTTGCATACTATCAAAGTCATTCTTCGATACCAAAAAATTTAAATCAATCTAATGCTAATACTTCCTATATTTTCAATAACAATTTCAATACATATAGGATTTTAAATCAAAGTTCTTCTTTAATTTCAAATCAATTAAAAAATACATTGTTTGTAAATAATAATGATAATCAACAATTATCAAGAACGTCTTCCTTAGTTATGGGAACTTTAGCAACAAATAGTATAGCTAGTACTAGATCAACATCAAGATCAAAACGTCATGTAACATTCTTTCAATCATTTTCAAATAAAGTATTTAAAAGAAGAAAGCGAAAAACAACAAAACATTCAAAACGAAAAAAATTAAATGGTATCAATGGTAATTTTACTCCTATTGAATTAGTTGGTACCATTAATGGTAGTTATAATAATAATAGTTTTTTACGTAAACGTTATCCAATAATTTTACGTTCCGGTATGAAAACAACAAATATTAATGGGAAATATGATAAACCGGTACGACACAATAATATAAATGTACAAAGCGATCAAGGTGATTTCGATGATGATGAAGATGGTGATGATGATAATCATGATGGTGGTAAGTTTTTATATTTTTATTAATTTAAAACCCCTACAAACACACTTCATTTTCTTTAATAAAATAACTTAATTTTGATCTTCCACTGCATTAACAATTTATTTCAAACCGTTTTTTGAAAGATTAGCAAAATTTGGTTTCATTAAAATTTAACTATTTTATCAGAATATTTATAGAATTTTTAGTAAACGAATATTAAAAGGCTTATTGGGAAACAAATCTTTGGGATAGTATGCCAATAAATTTAGATAGTAAAATTCAACACATCAAACTAATTCTATATTTCCCTCTGAAAAAAGAAGTACAGAAATGTCTTAATTTCTATAATTAAAGAGCTGTTGTTCTCTAAATTGAACGATTACTGTGTAGATTTCGTTTATGATTCAATCAATCACTTATAGATGGCCGAAACAACTGTATGTATCCGTATTCATTTTCTTTTTTCATATATTTTTGACCCTATGCAAACAGTATTACTATGTACTTTTTAAAATTTAATATTTTTCTTATATTTAAAAAATAATTTTGAAGAATTTTCCCTAAGACAGGAAAATAAAAATACAAAAACAAAACGATTTAACCCGCAATACTTACGTTCCTTTTATATCAACTTGCAGACGTAATTTGATTTCCAGCTGGTGCTCATAAATTATAAAACGTAAAAATTTAATGATTTTTCCGCAGAAGAATGGAAATGGAAACGGTATTGTCAAATAAATCTTAAACCAGTTCCTAGTATAATATTAAAAATTTCCAATTTAGCAAAATTTAAAACGAATGGCAATGCCGAAATATTAATTAGGTTTTCTTACCTTAATTTTCATCTAAAATATTCAAAATATTTCAATAAAATTCTACTTTAAGAGAAAAACAACTACAGCGTTTCACTAAAATTAAATATAAATGAAAGAAAAAGATAGACAGTAAGGTAATATTATTAATGAAAACAGGGAGAGTAGAAAAAAAAACATTTACTTAATTAAATAAAATTACAGTATTATAGAAAGAAAAAAATACAAAGTAGTTTACATATGAAATTTTTATATATCAACCTTACTGGAACTAAATATAAGTAAAAATACCCTTGTGCCAAGGTTAATATAACAGTAAAATTTTTTTTTTGCTTAAAATTCATTTTACTTCATTCTTTCATTTTGTTTCCCCGCATCGTATGAAGATTATTTGTGTATACGTGTATATTTCTTTCTTATTATTTTTTCTGATATTTTCTTGTGATCTTTTTGAGGTAGTCATCGTTATTCTGTGTAATGTAAGTGTCATCACTATGGTTTCTTTTCATTCTATTTTTTGTCGTCTTTTATGAATTTTTTGTTTTCTTTTTCTGATATTCTTCTTCATTTTCTTATCAATTTAATTTTTGCTACTTCTAACTACCTTCTCGGTATATTTTATTCCCCTTTCTTTCTTTAATTTATTCTGTCTTTTATTTTCTATCTCTTTTTTACATTTATAAATATATTAATACATATTTAATACAATTTTTGTTTTCTTTTCCTTTTTACTCTTATACTAATTTCTGTATATTATTCTGTAGATGACGAAGATGATGATGAAGATGAAAATGATGAAGATGACTTTGGTCGTAGTAATCGTAATGGTGGTAATGTTGGTGAAAATAATATAAATAATAACAACAACAACAATAATAATAACGGTAAAAATGATATTGATAATTTTGATGATGATATTAATGGTAAGGGTAACAAAAATGAGAAATATGATCGTTTTACTGATGATATCAGCGATTATCATTTACCATTTTGGGATACATACGATACTATCAATCAGCTTTATTTAGATTTGGGTAAGTTTCAATTCTTTTATTTGAATTTATTTTTTTTGAATTTTAGATGAATTATTTTTTATACCTATCAAAAAAATAAAAATGTTGAATGTAATGAACAAAAAAAAAGATAGTCTATACTTTTATATATTCTAAGAACCTGAATGTGAATAAAAATAGGAAAATAATAATATGATTGTGTATTGAAAATATTTACTTTAATTACACACACATACATATATTTAAATATCTTGGATTGCCATCGTTCACATACAGAAAAGAAACTGAATTATGGCATTCTAATATGTGAAAGAGATTTTACCTGTAATTCGAAATAATTTTAAGATTTAAAAATTTTGTATAAAACGACAATGAATAGCTAAAATTGAAAGTCACCCAAATATCTTGAAGAGAACCTATTAAGACAGATTGAGAAATCCTGGAATGAATAGAAAACCGCTAGCTTTTTTCGGTAATAAAATCAATGGCTATTTCTTTTATGTTAAAATTTTGTAGGCATATTTTTAAAAGGAAAGGTTTAAGAATTTTCATTATATTCACAAGTAGTTTGCCTTTATATTATGCATTGCTATTTTGAACAATGTAAAGTTATAGTTTATGAAAATTTCTCATAATCCCGATAGTCCTATTCTTTAATCAATTTTATTGAAATTGGATTTTTGGAAAATTGATGGCAAGAGCTGAATACATGCAATTGTTCATTATATTATAAATCAACTGAAGCAAGTTTAAAATTTTCTATTACTAATGTTTAACCAATTCTATGGAAGAAACTTATTATTTTAATTACCAACAGAATCAAAGACAATAAGAGACTAGAATTGTCTAACAGACACTCGACTTGATAGACATTATTTTGTAATATTAAATGCAATGTTTGGCAAAAGTATTGTAAAATCTCGTTATAATGTTTATGAAATTTTCTGATATAATATATAACTTGTCATATAAAATTTTTAAAATGAAACATAACTCTAAAAATATACCACAATAATTACAATGCTACTCTCAATTTAGTTGATTTGGCAACTATACAATAGTAGATATTTGTAAATATGTACATATAAATTATTCTTAAAAATAAAATTTATCATTTAGAAATTTCGTATATACATATAAGATGAAAAGTATAAAAATAAACAAAAAGATAATATTTCTTTTCTCTCTCTTTCTTTCACATTATATATATCATTATAATGTGTTTTTATAGTAAATTAACTAAAAATAATAAAAGTGAAAATAACATTTTATTAACTACTAACTCACTATCAATCAATATCGGTTAAATACTCAATCAAAATAACTTATGAAGATTAAGATAACATTTCAGTTACGTACGATATTATTTTTATTATATAAAATTTGTAGGTAGATATATGTGGGAATATTGTTTAATAAGGAGTTTATTTTGTCAATTTAAGAAAACTTATCTCAATTTATTTTAAAATATAAATAAGATATGCTTTTAATTTTTATTTACACAAAATAATAAAATTTAATGCAATGCATATATTTAGGCGAAAATGTATTTCAATATTATTATGTATAACTATTTTAAGTTTAAAGAATCATAATATTTACTTAAAAATTAGACCTTATTTTATAGAATTTTGTATAATTGTTTTTCTTATATTCCACATGAGATACACTTTTAGGAATAACAAAAAAAAATTTATTTGAAAATTTAATTTTTAATTAGTTCGTGGTATTGTATGCTAAATTTTATAATTTTGAATGAACATAGAACAGGATAACTAGAATGAATTATGAACACAATTCCTCATTTTCAGAAAATAAGAAAGTAAAGAGAAAGAATTTAATTTCTATAATACTTACTACGTTTCTAAAAATCTGACGATATAAAATAATATATACAGACATTTTAAAATAAATTAATTACAATAAATATTTCATTAAGCAAAATAAAAAGGGCAACAGATTAATTTCATATAATCAAACAAGAGAACTAAAGATTTTATTCTCAATTACTTCTGGATATGAGTGAGAAAATTATAGGAACAGATTTTAAAATTTACTTAACAAATAAGAGAATTGCTCAAGCTGAATTTTGAAGACTTCCCAAAAAAAGGAGAACTCTCTTTACTCTGTTCATTTTCTTTATTTATTTTTTATACAGAAAAAAAAATCAAGGAATTTTATAAACTTCTCATATATTCTAATTTTTTAAATCTCTCTGTTAAATTCTTTAAACAAATGGTTTCATGCTATTATACAGGGGAAGAAAAAAAATTATTTTAATAAAATTACTTAATATACTTCCTTAGTCCTTTGCATTTTTTACGTATCCAATTTATTATTTTGTTGTGTAAGGTAGTGACATAATATTAAATTCTAATTAATTAAGAAATAAACTCAATTTTAATATTAATTTCATTACCTTCCTTTCATATTTTATTTCAACATGTAATGTACATCCATAAATAAATGTATGTATATCGAAAATATTAGAATAGTTTGGCTTTTCCTTATTGAACATATCAATATTACAACATTATATCATACTCTTACAATATACAACAAGAATATCTAAGCAACATTTTTTCCTCATGTACGACTTCAATTAATTAAAAAACTTGGAAAATGAAAATAAATTGAAATTTCTATAATATTCACTACGTTTATAATAATTTATGTTTACGCACCTAATTATAATAAATATACACAGTGAGAGAAATTTATCTTAAAAAAAAAAATTTAATATACCTACTCTTTTAGACATGAGTCATGCAACCTTACCGAAAAGGTTTGCTAATTTGTATAATCAATTGATTTGCACTTTTATTTGTATTTGAAATAAATATCATTATAATTTTTAACATTATATTTTAACAACAACTTAAATACGTTCTGTATTTCGGTATAATTAAGGCTAATTTCTGTAAAATTTATTATAATCACTAAAATGAGATTAAAAAACACAAACTCATCAAAATTTTAAGAATAAATATAACATGCAGTCACAAGTCCCAAAAAAGTTTCCGATGGATTTAAATGAATTTGTACTAAATGTTCGAGGGAACGAGCACAATTTTCCTCCTTATAAATACCACTTAATTTCTTCCACATTAATAATTTTTATGAAACATCATTCTTCCACTGTATATTTTTTAAATAAATTGTTCAAGTAATATATTATTTTCTAAATATAAACATATTGTAAAATTAGTTACATATATGTATAACAAATGTACATACATATTAATTATATAATACGTATATGAACATGATGTAACTTTATATTAATAAAACGACATTTAGACTACATTCCTATTACAATGAGAAAAAAGAGCAGCAAAAGAAACAAAAACAACAAAAGAACATAATAAATAATCATTTATAATAATAATAATAATAATAATAATAAATATATATATATATATATATATATATATATATATATATATATATATATATATTTATATATGTGTATATATTTATGCACAATGTTACAATAATATATTACAAAAGTAATTTTTAATAAAACAAAACAAAAAATTTTATTTATTCTTGTCTTAACATTTCATATTTGTTTTCATTAAAAGGATAACAAACTACAGTCATTGTCACTAAGGCTTTGTTTATTTTTCAGAAAATATTTTTTATAACTGCTATGAAAATATTTAAGTAAATAATATTGAAATTTTTATCATAAACATTATGTTATATAAGAATTTTATTCTGATTACTTTGTTCTTATTCTAAGAATTTGAAATATGAAACTACGAGATAATAATGTACAGGACTAAAATAATAGAAAAGAGGAAAAAAAAAATAACAATTCTAAAACTGTCAGAAATATTAATTTCAAATGCCTTATTATATTTTAACAATTCTATAAGCATTCATATTGAAAATTGAAAATAAATTAAAATTAATAAAATTTTTTAATTAAATTTGAAAAGGCAAAAAAATTTACTAAAATATGTTTGCTCTTAACTTGAATACATATAAGATGAAATTTAATTAAATTACTTATACACACTTGATATTAATGCATTATTTTCGATAGCTTCAGTAACAAGTTAATAAGTAATCAAAATGGAATTTATTAATAAGAACTTCTAAAGCAATAATTTTTCTCTCTATATATTATATCTCATATATTGGGTTAATAATTAATTTGAAGTAAAAGTAAAGTTAACCATTATTCAATTCCTTAACGTTAGAAATTAGAAACTGTTTTGAAATTTTATGAACCTGATAAAATATTTTTGATTTTGCTATTGGACGCTGGGAAACATTTTTATGTGGAATGGGACCTTCTATTTAAGATGAAATAGATTTTAGTAAATTTATTACGCAATTCCTTTCGGGAAGGTAATCTTTGCAAAAGAATAAACTTAATAAAACTTATCTAAATCTAAGTAGTGGTGCAAAATCTGAGATCATGTACGATTTTATTTTTAAAAAATTTCCACATAAAATTACAAATATTAAGCAGTCAAGTTTACTTGATAATAATTGAGTACAGTATCAGAAGAGATCTGTAAGAGAATACATGCAATAGAGATCTGTCTGAGAATCAATTTGGAAAGGGGGTATAGAAACCGCACCATCTATGTGTTCTCAGACAGCAGGGCTGCGCTGCTGGCCGATGAGTTGGCGCGGAGGGGATTTGGAGCTGCCTTTGTGCAGCCGCTGCCTTTCTGCGGTCTGCCCTCTTCCGCCGTGGGGGCCAGGCTTGCCTGCCTACTCGCGGCGGAATGCGGTCGTCACTGGCGGGACACGAAAGGGTGCCGTCATGCGAAGGTGTTTCTTCCGGCGTGCTCCGGCGGATTCACCGCGGAGTTGCTGGGGATGAGCAGGAGCCGGGTTCGCACTATTGCGAATTTCTTCACGGGGCACTGCCCGGTGAAATACCACCTGCATAGGCTGGGGAAGTCGGGCTCCCCCCTGTGCAGATTTTGTGGGGGTGGCGATGAGACCGCCGTGCACATTCTCTGCGACTGTCCGGCACTGGCTGTTCGGCGCCGCAATTGTCTTGGACATGGGTCCCTAAGTGTTCGGGAACTATTGTCCAACTCCCTTAAGGATATCTCCGGCTTTGTGATTGGGACGGGGATATTATAGACGGGAGAGTGGGGTGGCTACAATAAGTCAAAAATGGCTGCGGTGGCTTGGGGGGATGCTCCTGTCCCACTCGGTTCCCTTAGAATCTACAAATCTCAATCTACAGTATCAGAAATATTACTTAAATAATTACAAGAATTTCCAAGTACTTTAAAAATATTTCTTTAAATATTTGTTTATAAAAATTTTTATCAAAATATCAAAATGAAAATAGGGAAATCTTCTCATCGAGATATTTTTAAAGAATTTTGAAATTTAAAAATAAATTTACTTCTATTTTTGAATTCATAAATTTACAGCTTAAGAGTTTTTGCATTTACTGCAATTTTCTACTTTATCAGCCATAAATAAAGATTACAATAAAATATGAATATACACACAATATTTTTTTTTTCATATTAAATTTCAAATTTATTGTCTAAAGAAAATAATAAAACACCTTTTTTAAAGATTTTTTTCATTTTAAACCTGTTGAAAATCTTAAATCCTTTTATGTTAAATAAGAGAAGAAAAAAAAACGTAAATAACTGCATTACTTAACATATTGTTTAAATATACTCAAAGTATACATTTATATATACACCTATATATATATAATAATATATATATATATATATAAATATACAACAGATTTTCTTGATAAACCCGCCCCTTTGAATTTTTAGATAGATACTAAATATTTTCAACTTTACTATTTTTTTTTTCTATGAGAAAAAACGTAAAAATATGGTAAAAAGTAATTTATCGAGCTTATGAAGATTTAAAAATATTTCTAGAATATAAAAAATTTTCATATTTTCTAAAGTTCTGAATTAAAACTTTTCTAATAAATACTAACAAATGAAAATATTATGATTTAAATGTTCATAAAAATACTTCATGTTAAATAAAATTTCACTTGAAGAAGATTATTATAAAAAAAAAAAAAGCTCATAAAGTTTTATTTACAAAAGAGAAAAAAAAATTAAATCCTTTACAAATAGTGAAAATTTTAAATCAAATCCTTGTACTTCAACAAAGTACAGTTAAGTTATATTTCTAGAAATTGAAAATATAAGGTACATAAAAATTGTGTGTACATCAATTATATGTAAGTAAATGTAAAATAAGTATTCATTTTGTACAATTTTTAAGTTTTTTGTCTGCCATATTTCAAATATTTTGATTCTTAAAACAAAATTCAGTCTTGAACAAACAATTTTTACTTGGAATTGAATAATTTTATCATAATTCAGAATAGGATTTTTTCTGTAAAAATTGCATACTTTTAGGGAAACATTTAATTACCGACCGTATTGTGTAAACAATAGGTAGGTTATGTGATGGCAACAAATTTTGCATATCGAGTTTTCGGTGGGAACGTACTTCTCCATAGTAGAAAAGTGTAAATAAACTATTTTTAGCAACCTGTCGGTCTGTCGGTCTGTCGGTCTGTCGGTCTGTCGGTCTGTCGGTCTGTGTGTACACGCGTGTATCTCAAGTTCGGCTGAACCGATTTTGATGAAATTTTATATGTAAGTTTGTTTCCACCATGGCACGGATCGATCAACTTTTGGTATATATCAGGCCTCGAGAACTGCACTTTTTAGCGGGCCTGTTTTACATTTTTGAACATTTTGAAGAAAATATTCAACCGATTTACTTGAAATTTTATATATAAGCTCAGCTCGATCGTCCGCAAAAATTCGTATGTTTTGGAAGAAATCAGGCATCGGCAACTAGACGTTTACTACGGGCCAAATATACATTTTTGTGTATATAAAGAGAAATAATCAACCGATTTCATTGAAATTTAATATATGAATTCCCCGTATTAAAACAATGAACATGTAAATTTTTTGGAAAGATCAGGCATCGGCAACTAGACGTTTACTACGGGCCAAACATACACTTTTGTGTATATAAAGAGAAATAATCAACCGATTTCATTGAAATTTAATATATGAATTCCTCATATTAAAGCAATGAACATATAGCTTTTTTGGAAAGATCAGGGCTCGAAAACTGATTTGCGGGCCGATTTTACATTTTTCACCATATCCACAGAACAAATTGATGGAATTTCTTGAAATTTGATATTGAGTTCTGATTGTTACCGAAACTAACTGGCGAGCATTTCAGGGAATTCGGGTAGCACAAAGCGAAACTCTACTAAGAGCCAAATTTACATTTTTCTAAGTATGTTAACTATAAGCTTACTAATGTCCTAAAAATTGGAAAGAAGTATTTAACAGACATTTTTATAATATTCTGTAACACTTTCATTTAACTAGACAATACACAATGCGGTCGATTATGTGCTGATCACATCAGAATTTTTTTTAATGTTATTTAGTTTAAAAGATTACGGTTTACGAACAGTTTGAGGTCCAATATTTACACGATTTAAAAGTAATTAATAAGATATTTTTCCAAACCTAAAGTTACAGCACTGATATAATATTTTTTTTACAAACTCTACCCGTTATTCACTTAGTTTTCTATAAAATTCACTCAATTTTCCATATTAGTCGTCCATACAATAATAAACTATTTGTAAATACAAGGATCTTCAGTATAACCAAAAATTTTTTTTAAATATTGAAGTAGCTGCGAGCTTATTTCAAATAATTTACGCAAAATTTCGCTTAAATTTTAATTATTATTATTAATAGGTAAAAAATATTTGAATTTAAATTTAAAATTTAATGTTCTAATTTATGTACAAAATAAACTTGTTAATTGAGATATTCATAACACTAAGCACAATTTTATTTTCTATTCATAAAAATTATTATTCAGACAAAATATAGAACAGCGGAAGTTTTCATGCGTTTTTCATTTTAGTATGCCACAAATAAAAAATTTATAATTAACTTGTAACACTCAGTTTGTATACAATTATAAACATTATCATTCAAAAATACTTTACAATAATAAAAAGATCAAAATACAAAATATAATAAAAAAAAATAAAGTTACAAAAGTGTTCTTGTCACACAAGTCAAACAAAACAAAAAACACACAAAATAAGAATCAAATAAATACTCAAAACTTCCTTTTCTGTACAATTTGCCCCAGGTTAACATCCTTTTGTTTCATTTTTCCTCCATTTTTTTTTTATTGTATTTTTCTTATATTAAGTACAATATAGAATCAGTGAATAGAATTTTACACTTCATATATGTATATGCAGTATCCTCAAAAAAAAAAAAAACAAAACATGACCATCCTACATATCAATTCAACCGAAGGTAACAATACATGTTTTGTATAAAATGTATAGCTGCTACATTCAATCATATATATACACTGACACAATAAAAATATCAGGATTTTACAACGTATCTCACTTAATATTCTATACAATAAAACACATATAATCTTATATCTATGTCTGTATATGTTTACATATTACACATTATTATTATGAATATTGTTATCATTTTACAGAAAATAACTATTCCATTATTATATTGTATGTTTTTTTTGTTATTATCTATATTGTATAGTGTTTGGTTGTTCTTATATTACACTTGATATACGATTGAAATTCACTTTCTCATATCTCATTCGCCATTATGTGGTCATAGAACCGCATTGTATTTTATTTCAAGTAAATCTCTTACACAATTTTACCTGTTAACCATCTACATATACAATGTACGTGTAACAATTTTTAAAATAAATGTATATGTATAAAATATAGGGATATACGTAGTGACATTACAATATTCTCAAAAAGGAAAAATTAGTTTACTTGAAAATTGCTTCCATTTTTTAATTGGGTACCTATACATAAATCTAATTGAAAAATCTTTGTAAACGAAATATTTAAATTATTTTTATCACAAAATATAGTTTATTATTGCCGTATTTTTCTCAAAATCGTTTACGATCCGGTTACAATTTATTTCACAATTACAATTGGTTCGATTACGGGAAAACCAAAAATCATTCAACAAAATTTTCGGATACAGCAAAATTTTTAATTGTAGTAAGTTCATGTTTTATTGAAATAAATATACATATTTGAGGCTGGCAGTGAATTTTATTTTTAACATTCACATTTTCAAGGATATTTTCAAAATATTTTATTTCAGCTACAACAAATCGTTTCTACACAGAATTAATAACCCACTGCAAACCTTATTTCTCTATAACTATAAAGTACTAAAAAGTAAATGGGTATACCTTGAATTCCAAACACTGCATCTGCACTTTTCTTGAATTCTGTTAAAAAATTCGTGTCAAAGCAGAGTTTTGAATTTAAAAATGGTATTGTTATAATAGTTTCAAAACTCATGAAACAATAATTTTAAAACAGTCTCGAATCCAAAAAACAATTAATGTTTTTGCTCAGTTTTCTAATTTTTCAGTCATACTACGTATTTATAACCATAAATGGTAACATTTTCGAAATATACAACAACTGGAGCAATATTCTTTTTTCTAATAGTTTTTTGTTTTCAATTTCAATTTTAAAAATAATTGAAATAATGAAAATTTAAACAATAATATTTTCTTCGTAAATTTATAAATATCAACATACATACATATTGATTATGACACACATTATTATATATATGTGTATGTACAAAATAGTGTTCACAAAAGCAGATTATCAAAAAAAAAAAACTATTAAAAATTTTTAATCATAATTTTCTTTTTCATTTATTTTTCATAATTTGTACAACTTCTTTTTTTTTTTGTTTTTCAATTTTCAGGAAATAAGGTTGAAATACGAAATCATTATCGTGGTCATAAACTTTCAATGTGGTTAAACTTAATACCGCAATTACATTCACCAGGTAATTTAAATGATTTACCAATGCGACATCATCATTTCGCAGAGGATAGTGCACAATATTATGATGGTAAGTTTTTAAAATATGCTTGAGTGTATATACATATGTATGTAATATAAGAATTATAGTTTTTGATATTATTACAAATCACTTACATATGTATGTATGTTTATACAATGTATATAACAGTTTAGAAATAAGTAAATTTAAAATGTTAAATAAAAAACTATAATGTTATTCAAAATTGCAAAATATTTTTGGTAATTTTAATTTTAGTTATATTAATAACATTAAGGAAACTACATAATATTTTGACAACAGTTTTTCAATTATCAAAAATAAATTTGAAAACTTCAACAATTTAATTAATTTTAATTGTTTTAACCTATGAGGATTAAAACAAAATTCACTAATTATTTTTTTCTTTAATATCAAAATTTAAAATATTCCAAATTTATTTTCTCGCAAAAGAAATCAATGACATCACAATAAAAAAATTCTTTGATTTTGACTCCTGGAACGCTTTATAAATTTAATTTAAATCATTACCAAATTTTTAACTGCTTCTAGCTAATAAATTCACTTGCTCAAGTTTGCTTTCATTAATATTCTTTTGTTATTGTATTAATATTTTACAGGAATCATAAGACCACAAATAACACAGAGGCCATTTTATGCAAAATCAAATACACCAACACCTCAATTTACAACAACAATTAATCCAACATTAACTACAACCGGTAAGTTTAAATGAATATTGTATGAAATTTAATTAAATTTTACTTAATATTACAATTTGGAAATAAAGGACAATAAGCCTTTATTTCGAAATTGCAATAAACATCAAAAGATTAAAAGAAAAATTAAATAATCAATTTTTTAAAATTTTACTTTAATATTATGGAAATTTTAAGAAAAATTAGACCTCTATTACAATATTCTCGATTATATCATATATATACCCTTTAGTTCAGAGAGTGAAAGAATTCCTACCATATCGAGTAAAGTATACTCAATGCCAGTCTACTCTACTATAATCAAAATTGTACACATAGCAAATTTGTTGCGAATTCCTTCAGTTATTGTATAACAACTTCTAATTCATTTCTTACTGAGTACGTTTGTGTAAAGGTTTTCTCGGAATATTTCGTGACATTTTGAAATTTTTGAAATTATATTCATTTGAATTTCTGTCTTTGAAAATTAAAATTAAAATATAAAAATATAATTTCAAATTAAGACATCGAAAATTTCGTTGAAATTTTTTTAAATACCTCTATTAAAGTCTCTAGTTTTGTAAACACAATGTTCGATTGTAAAGTTTTATTAAAAACATTATGTAAAATAACTTTAAAAATCTGTTAAACACAATTTTAGTCTTGTAATTATAATTTTGTTTCTATCAAAAATTTTAATATTTGACATTGATTAGTTTATATTTCAATTTTCTCTTAATGTTTTTTTTATTCCACGTTATCCCTGATAACCATCCACAAAGGATTATTTTGAAAATGAATAAATTGTTTTAAAAATTTTGTTTATTCCCTGTTTTCTTATTAAAAGCATGATCTGTATATAAAACAACATCCTTTAACGAAACACAATTTAAAAATTATTATATAAATTAGAAAGGATTAATATTTTTTTTTTTTGTATTAAAAGATGAACTTTTAAATGTTTTTTGTGTGTATAGTTTAAAAAGTATAAAAAATTAAAAATTTTACAACATGCACTTTTTAAAAGCAATTAATTTTAACTCATCGTAAATAGGTTATACGTTTAATGTACTCAAAAGTTAAGTACACCTATATAATGTGTATATTTTCATCATATAATTGAGTGTTTATTTAAAAGTACACATATTCCCGCTTGGTTAGTGTAAATTATACAAATTAATATTTTACAGTTTATCGTAGTGGTTTAACACTTTCACAATATTAAACTTCATTTATTAATATTAAATGAACATAGTTATGATTTGATACATGTAGAAAATCCTGTAAAATGGTTTCGGTAATTTATTATTATGAGCACGAAAAGAATGTAATTATTTTAGTGCCTTCAAAACGACAATATGACTAAAGGAATATCGTTTTTTTAAGCTCATGATCATATGAAAATTTTTTAAGTTGTTCATAATGATTTTATATTTATAGAACAATTATACTATATAGAATGTTATCTATAAATTAATAGGAAAACTAATTTAAAATTTTAGAAAGAATGCTGTAAATAAATGCAAAATTAACCATAATTATTTTATGATGTGCTATTACATCTTGCGATTCAATTATCTAATGAAAGATGAGTAGTTAGGCATAACATATATGCACGTACCATACCAGCATTTGTTTATGAATGAGCTTCTCATACAGGCTCTTAACTTGATCATATATAAAGCTCTTTTGTGCAATATTAATTACGATGATAATTTTATACTTGACCTTTAGCAATTCGCCTGATTATTTTCAAATGAAATTTAAACTAAATTACTCAGTTTGAAAATTTTACACTGAAAAATTGAAAAACTTATTATTTTATAACATTCCAAGTAATTACATTTTGACAATTTTTTACATTTTCCACTGAACCTCAAACTTTTGTAAAATCCGGAGTTTTATATTTTTGTAAAATAAAAACTATAAAGTATTTCTTCATAAAAGTTTACTGTGAAAATTAAATTCCCAAAAATAATTCTCCTAATAGCGTTTATGAACTTAAACTTTTTTCTCTCTGAATCCTAAAAATGTTGAAAAATTTTATACAAAAAAAGGGACAAAAAATACTTTTGTACAGAATTTTTAAATTTAATTCAAAATTCAAAGGAAAAATCATCAAGAGTGATATATTAATAGAGTAAACAATTTTTCTATAAATAAATCGTAAAACTTGTAAAATAAAAATTTAAATTTATTAAAAATTCTACTTATGTTTTTCATAAAATCAAAAATTTGAGAATAAAAAATTTCAATTTTTAGAATAAAAATTTTTAATTTCTCATATTTCTCATAATTTTTATTATTTAAAACTTTCTCAAAAAATATCACACTATCATCAATGTTTCTCATTAAATCATGTAAAAAGGACTACTATATCATTCATATTTGCAAATAGATTTAAATTTTAAGACTTTCTTTTATTAAAAAATCCAATGATTTCACAAAAATACCAACTTATAATTTAATATTTTCATAAATTTTACTTCCTTGTTAGCGTCATCAATTTTTTTTCCTATATTTATTCAAAACTTGCATATAAAATTTCTATATAAGAATTTTTATTTAAATAATTTTTAAAATTTATAAAAGAGCTTTGATTATTTTTTTATTTATTATCTTATTATAAACATACACTTTGAATGAAACACTTAAAGAAAATATGAATTTTGCTGGCTTATACATTCTTCAATTTTTAAATATAAATTAAATACCATCTTGTATATTGCATACAAGTACTATATTATTCACTTGTATGTATTCAACATTTTTTTTTAAAGTTACTCATGTATATTTTTGAAAAACAAAAAACAAGTCCTTAAAACAATCACATACAACACATATTGTGTGTATCCTCTTTCAAAAACTTTATCTACATTACACTCTTGTTTTTTTTTTCCTTTTTTTTTCTTAAAAATTTTCACCTCCTTTGATTCAAATTTAAACAATTATATAACAAATTTTCGCATGTGTTAAATTCTTTTTCCTTTTCATGCGCTCATAATACTCTCATGAGTTTTTTTTTTTTGTTTTTCTTTTTTTCTTCTCTCTTTTATCGCATTTATTATAAACACTTAAAAGTAAAATTTGCACAAACAAAATATTATTATATAATTAAATTTGTTTAACATATTTAAGAATATTTTAAAAATAAAGAATAAAAAAACAAAAAAACTTTTCAGACATTTTTTCCTTAAATTTTCTGAAAGAAAATTATTATTTAATTTTATTTTTTTCTTATACATCTCTTTGAATAAAAAATTTACATTAACGCACCTATACATATTGTATGTGTATACTAAAAATACATTTTATTTACTTACGAGTATAATATAATTTACTGAAAGAAACTAGAGAGAATTCAGACATTGAATATAATTTTGATATACAATGTAAATATAAAAATATCGTCTTACAATTTTTATAATATTACAACATTCTTTTGGAATTCAAAATCTTTTAACGAAATTACGAAAATTTGTTAAGAAATTGCAAAATATAATTCCAGGATTTATAAAAGATATTCGAAGTTTTTCAAGTTCTCACATTTAAGGATTTCGTTTTACTTTTTCTCTGTTTTCTGTTGTTTTTCTTAGGAAACTTTATCGAAATGCAATGAGCCTTGAAGATATATACAAACTATGTACCTGCTATATTCTTATGCCTTATACTACTACTAGAATGTATAGTCAAAAATGTTATAAAACTTTTTCTCTTATACACACTAGTGTATTGAATATCGATATTGTATATTGGTATCGATTACAATTTATAAGCTTTTTAATCCACTTGCAAAAAAAATTTCAATTTCAATTGTATTAAGAATAAAGAATAAAATTAAGTTAGAAGAAAATGATCATCGGGTGAAAAGTAAATCATAAATAATTCTTGAAAATCTTACACGTTATAATTTTTGTCTGAGATATAAAAGTTATGACAAGAATATAAGTTGAAAACCAAGATTATTTTTATTGACAAAATGTAGACAGAAGTTTGTTTTTCTTATATTAATCATGTATATTGGTTTTTCATCAAAGTTGTTTTTGCATAAAATTAAAATTTAATATATCGTAAAATATAAAAAAACAAATTTTAAATTAAATCGGTTTTTTTATAATCGATTTTGTTTAACCAAATTAAACTTAAAAGATTCCTAGTTATATTTAAGAAATAGACGAAACTATCTAAGAAAATTTTTTAAAATTTAAAAACTAATATCCAAAATATTAATTAGTTATTCGCGGTTCCGCTTGTGTCCTTTTTTTAAAATATTTGAAAGAAAAATTGTGGGAATAGCACATAATCGGTCACAATGTGCATTTTAAAAATAATTTTTTTAATAATATTTTCATAATATTTTGCATAATATTTCATAGAATCGACTTGGATTGGATTTTAGAAAAGCTTAAATAATTAAATAATTTAGTCATGCCCGAAAGCCCATTTAAGCCAAATGGTGCAAATTTTTCAAAAGTAAGTTTAAAATATTATTGAGGGCTGTGTAACTAATTTTATTATCTATTACTTGAATATTTCCATACGCTTCACTATTTTTTTTCCATTATAAAGGGAAAACTTTATAAACCACAATGAATAGTTCATAAATATGGAATTCATAATCGAAAAAAAATTGTTAGGCGAACAATTTTCATCTTTTTCTACATACTCTACTCACTGTACACTAGACTCTGTGTAAAACCGGTATGCATTATAAAATATTCTATAGAAATCGTTATTAAATTTTATGTAATTTAAATTTTTTTTATACATATTTTTAAATTTTATACAAATTTTATTAATAGATGCACCGCAGCATAGAAAAGATTGCAAAATTAAAGGTACAAGTTTTCTTTTTTTTATTTTCTCAAAATTTATTCAAATGCATTCTTGCAATTAACATCTAAATGTTAAAATAAATTTACAATTACAGCATAATTAAGAAAACTTTATGGAATTTTCACAATTTCCTTAAAAAAAAAATATATTTTTAGAAGTACCTGTGTAATAAGAAAACTCTATGTTAA